GAAAAGAGAGAGATTGACTTTCCCGCTTAGTGATGTCTCGTGCGGGACCCGTCAGGTCACATGACTGTTTTCTATTCTCGTGAATATTTATAATTAATTTTTACTGGTATTTTTGTTTGGTCAAACGGAGATAACACTTTGTCTGTCGCTACAGAACATTTTATAGACTCCATTTTTTCTTTTCTATTTCAGTCCTGTTTCTCGTTCGCTGTTAGTCTGAAAGAAAATAGAAATGTAATCATCTTAACTAATCACAATGTAAATACAAACACTAATTTTTCAATTTTCTTGGTAAAACTGAATATCAATATGATTTGAAATCATTTAAAAAGTATGTGATTATCGAAATACTTTGGGACCGTGGATCCTACTTTCAACGAGTACCTCTTACGATATTTATTTTACATTCTCACGAAGACAAAATACAACAAAGTCCTTTACGACGTATGTACGTGTAAGTGTATAACTAAACCCAGTTAAAGAGCGGCAACTAGGCAGGGACTGTATTGAAGGACTATCGGAGAGAAAAGGGGGACACTCAACACCCAAGCAGCAAAAACATAAACAAGACACTATCGAAATAGCTAGCTCCCTGAATCCACGGACACTGATCGTTCATCAAAGCCATCCGCATTCATCCTCATAACTAAAGGACCAAATACTACAGTAGGTGGCAAAATATATCAGATTTATTTACTAAGCTATTGCTATAGAGCTATGTAATTTTCATCTCGATGAGCTAATTTCTAACTGAAAATAATGTGAAATATGAAATCAACACAAGTTCATTATTAATATAAGAAAACAATTTCAATATATAACAATATAATGTGCAATGTCCTCTATACTGAAATTAACATTAAGTGCCATTAACGACCCAGTAGATGTCTTTGGTACTGATGGCTTACAAAGGCCTCTTTTCACACGTTTCCATATCCACGTCAAGGATATAAAGTCAGGTTTCAATGACGTATCAGATTATTTACTTGTAAGGGCAGACAAATGCTGTTATTAATCTCACAGCTATATTTGCGGGAAACTCCGTGAAGATCGAACTCACTAAAAAAAATTCTGGAACTTCAGGAACATCGTTCTACAACGGATTCCAGTAAAAAGCAATTCTCAAGTTCGTGAAGATACGGAATTGGCCTAATGCAGAGTTCAGCAAAATGATTGGCATCAACTCTCGAGGATCGATAGGACTATCCAGGGGGTCAAAAGAGGGCCAATAAATGTTTGAGGCTCAAAATGGGATCGATAAATAAATCGTTGCGACTTATGGCTAAAACTAACCAATTTACAAGCAAATACCAATACCCTTGATACACATTCTCCAATTCAATAAGAAGGTATAATATTTTAATGTGCTTATTATTACCTATAACATCTATAAAGTTTTCTTGTTATTATTATTATTATTATTATTATTATTATTATTATTATTATTACTATTATCTATGTTATCATATTGCCAGAGAGTAATTTTAAGTTTCTAATTACCAAGTCCCCTCCGGGGTCTATAAGTAATAAGGGCACTATAAGAGAGTTATCCATATTTGGGACGTTTCGTTTCGATTAAGAGGGATTTGTGAATGATATGTGCAATTCCGCACAGAGTAATCTTTTGTAGCTCTGTGATGCTGATCCGCCCAGGGATTTTATTCACATCATTTTCTCTACCCAACCACCTATTCTAACATGTATAATCGTATTTTTAAGTTTCTAAATTTTGTTACTTCGATTTGCAGGTCCTTATAATTTGACAGTTTTTGAAATTCTTTTTTTTTTTAGAAACATTGACATCCTCTGCGCAATTTAAAGCTAAAATGAAATTTATCGAGGAACAATAATGATAGAAGAGGTTAAAGGAATTTCTACCCTTGAATAAAGCATTATTATTATTATTATTATTATTGTTGTTGTTGTTGTTGTTGTTGTTGTGTATCTCTGGGGGTCGATGACAGATCAAGAAGTCTAAAACTTTGGGAGAACCCTATCCTAATGGTTAACATCACGGAAAATGGAATCGGCAAAAAGAGTTCAGATTCTGATTGTAGCTTGTTTCACTTCTCACTAAAACCATGAACCTACTTTTTGGAATCGTGCAACATATCATGTTGGTATTTGCCACATATATTATTTAGACAGGAGACGGGTGCTGTCAAGTAATCCTCGTAGGGGAGTTATAACTCTGAATTAATAATTATAAATTCCCTCACATTTATACAAAAAATACTTATAAAAATGAGAAACAGCAAGATGTGGAAAAAGCAAAATGAGTATTAGTTATTATCTAGTTGTTATGTGATGTTGAAGACACGAGAGAGACAATAATACTTAGTAAAATTGTGAGTTTCAAATGGAGATCAAATATGGATCAGAATTTGACAGAATGATAAATAAACAATAAGCAAAATGTATAGTCTTTCTCGAATTTCTTTTTTTTTAGATGCGTGTAATGAGTGTCCAGATAATTTAATGGGAAAAATGCAATTTTGTTGAGTGCTAAAAGTTAATTGTTAACTGCTTGTCCGATAGTTAGAATGTCACGTGTTTGTATGTGTAGTGGGGTCGATTCTCATTGGTTTAAAATGAATGAATTAATGATTATTATAATTATTTTTTGGCACAACAGTTAATTTTTATTTATGTATTTTTTCATGGACACGACATCCTAATTAATTGTCTCGAGAAATGTCATGATAGATCTCGCACAGGGGTGGAGAACCTGGGGCCTTAAAGCCGCTTGCACCCTCTGGGTCATCACGTGTGGCCTTCTACAACTTTTGAGCTGGACTATGGAGCCAGATAATTTTAAAAAGTTGGAGCCGGAGCTGAAGCCAGCAAAAATGTACTAGTTCCAACTCCCTAAACTAAAAATTCGCAATAAACTTTCCTCTTTCACAGCAATAATTAAATTTATCATTCTGAGCTTCTGTTACTAGTGTATAAAAATACAGTGTTTAAAAATACAATAGTGTTTAAAAGTGGTGTTTAGCGGTCTTTGACTGCGCACGCCTCCTGTCGAACTCTCTGCGTAAGCAGAGAGGAATCCGGACGAGGCTTTGCCGAAGGGCAAGGTTTCGTCCGGGGAGGTAGACAGGGCCTGAATCCGTCTAATCGGCTTCAAAGGCTATTTTTTTGGCCGAGCCTACGGGCTCGGGGAAACCCACAATAAAACCGGCCTTGTGCCATATTCGTTTCCCGTGGGTGAAATGATAAATACTCAGTGTTTAAAAATACATTACTAGTTAGCTAAGTTTTCTTTGGTGTTAACTTGAAACCATTAAGATAGTTATAGCAAAATTATATATATCATCACACTAATATTATTCTGCTTGTAGCAACAGTCTTTGTTAGTAACGTGTCTTTTGGTTACGACTTGGCTAACTTTTCACCATTTCCTTACGAACAATTTCAGCTGGCTGTCTTTTCTTTTACTTTCTCTATGATAAAAATATAAGCAAAAAAAAAAAAGTATTGTGAATTATATACGAGAAAATGCCATGAGACATCGTCAGTTTCAAAACATCTTGATGATAGATGACGAGGTAATTAATGTAGATTTGCCCTATAACTCAAAAATACGCTGGATATCGCAAAGAAACGTACTGGTCAAAATGTTGTCTTTACGAGAGCAAATAATTGACTTTTTCAAAGAAAACAATAAGTTTTGTGTATTATCAGATACAAAATTTTATAGAAATGCTGCATTTGTGTGTGACAAAGTAAAATGAGTTAACTATTTCGTTACAAGACAGAAATAAATCATACATGATATGTGACAAAAAATTATTACATTTAGAAAGAAGTGGTTATTTTTCAAATTCTTTCTTGCTCAGTCAAAATTTTCAGAACGCATTTCTTAATTTTCGAAAGTAATGAGTGAAAGTGAAAAGAATATATATGAATCTTTTTTAAACTCATTAATAGAAGAATAAAGCATGAAAAACATAAGGTCACCTTCACCCTTTTCAACCTCACTTGGTTAACAAATTGAGCTTATTGTGATGTCTGAAGATAATATCCTGAAAACTCTGTTTGACAGCAAGAATGATCCCATTGAAATTTGGAAAAAGGCGGTAGAATAACCCCACCTTCATGAATATGCACGCCGACTTATTTCATGTTTTTCTTCAACATCCATATTCTCGTACTTGACCCAAATCATGAATTCGTTGAGAATACAGTTATGACTCTGATGCTGCGTGATTCGTTGAATGCCACTCTTACTTTGGTCCCTGTCCGTTGGTCCGTCTCCGGCTAGCCCACTCTGCACCAATCCGGTGCCCCAGTATACGCAAGAATATCGGTGAACTGTCGAAGATCACGCTCGACTCAGCTCTGTCCTGGCTATGATTGAAACTTAATTAACTTCAACAACACTCATTAACAAGTGTAAAAATAACCACTTTTATTTTTACTTTTACTAGGATTGATTAAGATCATGAATACATAGACAAAAGGGATTTGTAGAAATTTCCCCGTATAAGGAATTCGTGAGTTGGAAGAGGTTGACAGGCGATTGCAGTTATGTCTAAGCAGCCTAGAGTCGTTCAACTATTTTAATAAAAGCAGTTGATCATGGAAATTTAAAAAAGCAGCACAGAGAACATCCGGCAGGGCAAGTTTTGGTCTACCGACGATGAAACCAGTTCGATCTTTTCTTCTGCTGTTTCGGCAACTGCTTTTATGGGGGTGAAGACCCTAATTGCACTGCTTTGATTGGCTAGCTTGTTGTATCATTAAAGAGGTTACAAACAAAGGTGATACGATCGAGTGAAGGAACAGTAACACGCGCGTAGATGAAAGAGAGGTTTATTATAAAAGAGAATATACTACTGAAAGACAGGGAATCGGTTAGCAGGTTTCTCGATGTAAATTTATTTACCTTACCTCCCCGCGGGACAGGATGTGGCACAAGGACGTTTTTTAAGCTCGGGAAAAAATTTCCTGTAGACCACGTATACACGGGGTCCAGTAGCTGTCTACCACCCCAGACGAGACTCTGCCTTTCGGCTTAGCCTTGTCTGGGTTCCTTTCTGTCCGAAGGCAGAGAGTTCGAACAGCACAGCTAGAGACGAATTTCCACCTAATTCCCGAAGCAAGCCCCCAGGTATATCCTGTGCTCACTATATATATCTACTGATATAGTCAGTCCACATAGGCGATAGGGAGTGTGGGACATTCCATTACAAGCCTAGCCAATAATAATGCTTGACCAATAGTAATGACCAAGCCAATAATAATGCTTGACTAATGGTCTTGTGTCATACGCCTTGAAGAGGGGGAAAGAAAGCTACCAAGAACTCAATATGATTTGTGGCCCAGTCAAGATAATGGCCATGTGTCGTAAGTATTGTAGAGGGAAACGAGAAGCTCCACCCCAGCCCTTCTCTCACTGGTGGGCCAATCAAAATTGTGCTTTTGCATCGCTCATATCCACCTTCAGTGGAACTCTATTATCATATGCAAATGAGAATGACAAAAGTGGCATTAGTCAGCGAAATACTCAAATTAGTCAAAGAAATACCCAACATAACAATGGCGTTGCCGATAGGATCTTTGAATACGCTGGAAGATCCAGAACACATAGAGACATGGATCAGAACTTTTGCTACATTTACAAGAGTAAAAAATTAAGAGACACCAAGACCGAAGGAGGAGAAAACGATATAACGGATTTATTTCTTGCTAGTGCTAGGTGTGAAGCGGTGAAGAAATTTTCGACAATGCGTTACCCGAACAAATTATAAGAAATGACATTTGAAGAAATTGTCAAGGTTATAAAAAAGAACATAAGACCAAAGAAAAGATTGGTCGTTGCTGAAAGAAAAAAGTTTTAGAGACAAGACAAGCACCAAATGAGTCCATTATACAGCACTTACATAGATTAAAAGAACGTGCTAAGTACTGTGAATTTGAAAAGTTGGGAACTCGGGAAATGACCATAGAAGATAAATTAATTCTTTTCAGAATAAGTGAAGGTTTACAAGACCAGAACCACAAACGAAAAATACTGGAAGGTCTACAAAGTAATAAGTTGAATTTGGAGGCTAGCGTCGAATTTTTACAACAGTTAGAGTTGATTAGAGAATTTAATCAACCAAAAGAAAAATTCGAGGTATACTGGACGAGCACAACCAAGTCTATTATTAAATGTAGATATTGTGGAAAAAATCACGAGAGAGACAAGTACAAATGTCCTGCGTTATGAAAAGTATGCTGAAATTGCAAAAAAAGAGACCATTTTCAGAACGTATGGAAATACGAAAAGAAAAGTGAAAGAGTACAAAAAGTAAAAACCCCCTCCGAAGAAGAGTCTGAAATATTTACAGTGAATACGTAAAAAAGGAGAGAAAAAATAAAGATAAATGGCCAAATACATGCAAGTTGATACAGGCAGTGAAGTCACGCTGATACCAAAAAATTCTGGGTCAAATTGGGATGGCCTAAATTTTTAAAAAAAGAAAAAAAAGGCAACATCCAATTGAAGCAATTTGATGGAACGACTATAAAAATAATAGGTACTTTTCAAGGCAACTTTGAAACGAATACACGTTTTGAAGTAATTCCTATTACAGTGGTAGAATGCGAAAAAGATCACGGATTACTAGGAACTGATGTATTGAAAGTGGATACGGCAAGATTAATCAATTCCATGGAAGCACAAGAAAATTAAATTGGAGTGGTAAAAGGTTATAAAGCATGTATTCGACTAAAAGAGAATTATCACCGAAAATATATAGTGTCGAGAAAAGTTCCAAATTATATCCTACCTTTGGTAGTGGTCAAGTTAAACAAAATGACACAACAAGGCATAATAGAAAGAGTGACTCAAGGTGATAGCAATTGGGCATCACCAATAGTAGCGATAAAGAAACCTGACGGAGATTTAAAGATTTGTGGTTATTATAAGATATGGGTAAATCACCAGATATGTTCGGACTCTTTTCCGTCGTCAAATATCGAAACTGCGAGCCATGAGTTAGCAAAAATAGAACACTTTGCAAAAATTGATCTCAAGGCAGCATACAACCAAATAGAAATTAATTAGAAATTCAAGGAAATCACCACAATAAACAACCCCTATAGGCTTGCTGCTAAGATGGACGTGTCTACCATTTGGGGTAAAGACGTCGAGTCATATTTTTCAGAAAGCGAGTCTCATTAGGAAAATATGATAATATACCAGGACGATATACGTGTAGGGGCAAGAACCAGAAAAGAAGTGAAATATAAAACAGAGCAAATTTTTGAAGAATGCAGGCATGACTATAAACAATGACAAATGTAGTTTTGACTGCACGAAGATATCATATTTAGGATATCAAATATCGAAAAAAGGCATATCATCCGACGATAAATTAACAAAGAAAATAACAGAAATAGCTCCTCCAACAACTAAAAATGAGTTAGAATCCTTTTTGGAGAGGATAAATTTTTATAGTAAATACATTCCAAGATACAGCGACGTAATAAAACCATTTGCAAAATTACGCAAGAAAAACAATGAATTTAAAACTGGACACAAAAGCAAACTATCGCTTTTGAAACAGTAAAGAAAATACTGAGGAGCAAACCAATAATAAAAGTTTTTGATCCACAAAAAGAAATAACATTAACCAAAGACGCGAGTGAAAAGGCGATTGCTGCTATCGTATCGCAAGAAGAACACCCAATCATGTACATATCAAGAAGGTTAATGTCAGCCGAGATTAACTACTCGAATATTGAAAAAGAAGCATTGGCGATTATATGGAGCATGAAAAGGACAAGAAATTTTTGATAGGAAAGAAATTCTTATTAAAATCGGACCACAAACCATTGAAATTCATATTTAACCCAAGAAAAGAATTGCCGAAAGTAACACCGTCAAGGATTTTGAGATGTGCAATAAAGATCATAGAATTCGATTTTGACATAATATATGTAAAAGGGAACACTATCCCGCACGTAGATGCGTTATCAAGATTGCATTTCAAGAATGAAGCAGAAAAAAAACAGGAAAATGCTGAAGATAAAATAATACATTGGGTAAAAACGGACGTTCTTCCTCTAAATAGACTCAAAGTAGAGACAGAGCAAGACCCAATATTAAGCAGAATAGTGGAGAGAATAAGAAATAATGTATGGAGCAATTGTTCAATCGCAGAACGACCCTTTAAAGAAACGAAGCACAAACTGACCATTGAAGATGGCATAATATGCAATGGAGATATAATTGTAGCTCCACAAATACTGAGGAGGGACATATTAAAAGGTATGCATGATGACGTGCATTGTGGCATAATAGCGACACAAAAAAGTCTAAAGTTGCAAGCTTGGTGGCCAGGGCATTCAAAAGATGTAGAGGAATACATGAAGAGATGCCCAAAATGTGCGGAAATAAAAAATTTCAAGCAAAGGAAAATTCATTCATGGCCCAAGAAAGCAGAGCCATGGGTTAGGGTCCACATGGATCACGCACATATCAGAGATAGAGGGTTGTTCTTAGTATTAGTGGACTCATATTCAGGATGGCCAGAGGATGTCAGAGTAAAGGACAGAAAAGCCATCACTATAAAGCAAGTACTAAGAACTATATTCTCAAGGAATAGAGTACCCCAGACACTAGTCACTGACAATGCACCTGAATTTTGCGATGAGAATTTATGCGCGTGGTTGAAACAGATTGGATGTATCCCATAGAAGACACCACCGTATCATCCACAATCTAATGGCATTGCGGAAAGAATGGTACAAACGGTGAAAATGGTGTTAAAAGCATTCTCACCACTTAATGAAAGACTAGAAGCGTATTTGCCAAAAATGCTTCTCAGTTATAGATCCATTCCACATGCAGTAATTAATAGGTAGACAAATCGGAGCCCCCATAACTATACCCTTTTCAGCGAAAGAAAAGGTATGGTATAGAAAAAATAAAGAGGCTGAGTCAGAAGATAAAACGTATATTTTCCCAAAAATAAATTGTATTATTTATTTTTTCTGACATTAAATGTTGACCGTTTATTTATTTTTTTCTTTATTCTTTTTATTTTAAGCGTCAATTTCAACTCTTGGTCCCTCGACAGCACCCAAAAGGTGACCTATGTTCTGCATATGGGATGGGACATATTTAAAAATGTCCGGTAATATTCTTATTTTATATTTGATACGTTTGAAAATATAATGGAATCATTTTTTTCTTTTACTTTTTTTTTCCTTTCGTTCAGTGATAATGGTAAAGGTTAAAGACACGAGGTTATCTTCTGTCTTATCCAGAAACTGCACAATCATTTTTGTGACACAATCGTGTTATTAACTTTCTTAAACAAAAACCTCTGATTCTGTGATGTCGACAAACACAAATTAATTTGAAAACAAAACCACATCACTTGAATACTTCCAATAGCAACAGCTGTTAATGAACTTGAGAAATCTTTCAATGAAAAATTCTTTTAATAAAATGATTTTATAAATTTCAACCGACAGTAGCATTAACTGTTCGGTAAATAAATGCTGAATGTTTCCTGTACGGAAATGGTTAGTTTCACCATTACTGTTATCAACAAAATATGTATTAAATTATTTACTTCTGTGCTAATACCCTTAATTCAATAGGAAATATTAATAAATAAATAAAAAAGATCGAATATTATTCATTGAAAATTTGATATAAACTTTAGGGTCAGGCCACAGACTTATTGATCTACCCTAGAGTGTGGAAAACTGTATCTGCGAACCGTGTTCGAATTCCATTTAAGGCTATTCGTGATCTCTTCACATTAACGCTATCCATTCAATTTCTTCCTGTGCTCCGTGGATGTGAATTTAGGCGAATCACTCTCTTTACCAGCCCAGGCAGTAGCAGTAAAAAGAAAAAATCTGATGCACTGACTTCAGCCGGAATCAGTCATATATAAATAAATACACTTACTTCTCTCGACACACAAAGGAACAATCTATTGTAGTTGCAATGGTGTAGTATATTACGAGTTAATATTACTAAACAATTGTAAAAGTTCGTTCTGTTTTTGTTGTTTATAAAGAGCCTACAGGTTTACAAAAACATCGTTTTTAATTGGGTTGTTTTTTCTGTTCCTTTTTTTTTTTTTTAATCATTTCGAACCAAGCAAGACCCTTGAAACGTAAGGGATTGCTGGAAGTGAAAGAGAATGAGAAGACATTGGTGAGAAGACTAAAAAAACGTGAATTAGGCAGACTGAAAATGGTGATTGACATGGCATTTAAATTGTTGAAAACAGTAGGTGACAGGGAAGCAAGAAACCCGAAGAAAGTTCCACAGGCGAGAAGTGCAAGAAAAGAATAGAACTTACGGTTATATCAAGCTAGTTCAACGGTAAAACGATGAAACTTAGTAGATGAAAGCTCATTAGAACAATTCCTATGAAAAAATATATAGAAAAAATATATAGCCCCCCATCACCACCACCACCACCACCACCACCACCACAAACACACTAGAGCGGGATGCGACTCAAGGTCAGTTATTTAATCTAGGTAACCCAAGCGAGGTCACTCGGGTCATTTGTCAATTTTCACCTAATTCCAGCTTGCGCAGGATCGGGCACAAAGCTTGTCTTAGCTGGTCATGTCCACGGAACAGATATTACAATATAATCATAGTCTCTGGACCGTGGAACGCAGCTATTTACCCACGGGTATTTACACGCGGCTCCCCAGAGGAGCGGTGGCAACACAGAATCAGTTATTTAACGTGGGGAATTCGAGCGTGAATAGTCGAGTCATTGGTCAAAATATTGGTCAATATTTAGAGGATATTATGGAGTTGTCTGAAAGATGGCAGACAGTAGGAGAACAAAGCGTTAAATATGTTCTTCCATAAATATCGAAAAAAAAAATGAAATTTTCACTTTTTATGCTACTCAATAGATTTAGTATTTAACTTGGTTATAGTTAATCCTAAAAGTACGGGTGAACCGAATGTTAATCTGCATATGTTTGTTTCGTTTTTAATTTTCAGTGTATGAGAATCTCTATTATTTTCCCAGGCTTGATATGAATAATTTTATTCGATTTGTCCTGACGGTTCGCAAAAACTACAGAAACGTACCTTACCACAATTGGACACACGCTTTCTCTGTGGCGCATTCCATGTATACAGTTATCAAAAGCTCAACTGATAAGTTTAGCAGCATAGAGGTAAGCAGAAAAAGAAAATATTTAAACTATTCTCTTTAATTTATTAATGGAGAGTTTTTCTTTACTCTCCGACATGTTCATTTTTTATAAAATCTTTTGAAATTTAAAAATAAGTATCATACCTATAGTATTTGATTAAATATAATATAACATCATTTTTTTCTTCATGTAATGAGTTCTGTAAAAAACCCATAAGAGTCATACGTGCACCACACTTACTACAGTCGCAGCCAGACGAAACCCATACCTCTTCACACTGGTTTTGAATTCAAAATTATCCTTCAGCCAAGAGTAGAGAACTTGCAAGCTTGGGATAGAGATAGATCCATACTATCCCAAAGGTACTTATGCGAAAGCGAATTCAATTTGAACTCGGTACGCCAATCCCAATTTTCACGCCGTTAACTGCTACGCCACGGGCGCATCCGTAAAATGCCTTTACCCAAAATCCGAACGCGTTAGCGAAAGATTACTTCCAGAAGTTAAGCAAAGTATTAAGAAACAGAAAAATTTCGTTAGAAACAACAAAAAAAAAGCCAACTAAACACTTATGTAATATCGGTTGTCACACACAATTCGCAAGTTGTCGTTAGGAACACGAATTTTTCGTAAGTTTTAATGGCGAGGAGATATTCAAGCGAAACAATTGCAGCTGCTGAGTAAAAAAAAAGGTCAAAACGTGTGGATTGAAGCCCACATGATTAAAGAAAATGATGGATTGAAGCCTACTATGTCCAAATGCAAGGACTGAAGCCCAGAAGCACGATTTACATTAAAGCTGATATCAAACAAAAACCCAGTATTTCTATAATAAAGCGCAAATTCGTCAATATAAATTGTTCTAAACATTAGCTCCATACTTTTAATAAAAGAAATAATGGACAGTTTCATTTCTGAAATACATCTGTGTTTCTCATTGGTACCAGAAGACAGTTTTCGGGTAAAAAACACTGAAATTTCGAATGCAGATTTTAATGATTGGTAGACCTTCCCATTTAAAAGACTGACACAACACGAGCTTAAATAACTAGAAAAATCCTTCATCTGGTAAACATGTATGTCATATTCAGGATTATATAAACAAAACGCATGTTTCCTGTCTTCTCGCTAAAAATAGTTCTCATTCTTTAAAACTCGATACTGTGGATTGAACCAGATATAACAGTTTTTTGTCCAATATTCCCCCACTAAGCTATCTCTGAGCTGAATCAAGAAAATTTAACAATATGACTTCCATATTTTTCTTTAATGGAAGACATAATTTCTACATTTCTAATTTAATCTCTCTCTCTCTCTCTCTCTCTCTCTCTCTCTCTCTCTCTCTCTCTCTCTGATATAAACAAAGAAACTAAAAATATAGTGATACGAATTTTATCTCTGGATAAATTCAAACATATGGCTGCGAACGTGGTTCACTTAAAAAAGCGAGATTTTCTACTCAATTAAAGACCAATACAATCACATAACCTATAGAAAACAAACACAAGATATAAAGTTATATTTATTTTAATTTTAAGACATTTTTATGTTTATACATTCTTTTTATAGATACAAATATTTAAGTAAATGCTCTGCTTATAATAAACAGTATTAAACAATATTTACCGGCCTGATAAATTTTCATAGAAAATATTCGTCCTCCGACAGAATTCGAACCTGTATCCTATACGGAATTTAGCTTGACGTGTCTTTAACCGAATTGGACACAGAGGAGCGTTCGGTTAGCAAGGTCTTTGGCCAAATCGGTTAAAGGCACGTCAAACTAAATGACGGTTCCGTATAGGATACAGGTTCGAATCCTGTCGGAGGACGAATATTTTCTGTGAAAATTTCTCGGACATTCAGCCTGGGCTTTATAAGTATAACTCGATATGAGTTGTCTCCCTTTCATTCTCGCTAAGAGCGGTGCCTCTTAATCGTGTTTTCAAATTGATTTCGTGCAAAAACAATTGTGTTTTTCCAATTTTTGGCGCTGTCAGAACCACCTCAAAGTAATTTTACATAGTCCTTTGAAGTTTTGTTGAAATCGGTTGAAAAATGTAGGAAATCCGATCCAATATATAAACGAACAGATACATACACACACACAAAACTTGGGCTTTATAATAAGTATGATATATATTGTGAATGATACATATCATTCACAGTAAGGTCAATAAAAATATTTTTAAATGCTCACTGGATTTTCAAGTAGAAAATATTGAACTGTTTAAGAATATATATATATATATATATATATATATATATATATATATATATATATATTGTTGTTGTTGAACTAAGAATTCTTTTTAATAGAATTAGATTGGAAAATGATCATCACCGGTTTGGTATTTAGAGTTTTGTTGCTGTACATTTTTAGTCAACATTGAGAGTAAATTTCTTTGCTATACAAAGATGCATTTTTAGGCAACAATAAAAAGAAAAAAGGGGAAATTCGCACGCGAGTTGTAAAGTTACAACATTAATGGAATCGTGCCAAGTTTCTAGATATCAGTATGACCGAAACACTGAGAAAGGACTGCCATCAATCAAACACAATGGCCAACGACAAAGCATCGACGAGTCTTGCGTGCTTGGATATCCGCCAAAGCGGTCAAGCAAGATTCTTGATTCAAATAAAACCGTTTATCTTTGTCTTTTTTTTTTTTTCTAGTCACTATGAATTACCGGGAAAAGTTTTGCGAAAATAATACTAATAATGACTATGATGTTTCTTGAATAGATTTGCTTCACTACACATGATGACTGCAGTCAATACATACAAGTACTTTTAGCGTTTAGGCTGGCTTGATGTAGTGTAAGGCGCTTATAAATAACCTACTTAGCGAAAGTAATGTCGTCAACCTTTAACCGATTTGCGACGAGAGGCGTTTTAATAACACGCAAAGTAAATTTAAGCAAATAATGCCAAAATAAACACAACTAAATATTTACTGTTATTTACCAGACGATATAATAAACAGTCGTCTATAATTATTGTCTGAATTTCTGTTATGAGAGATTACCATTATTTACATTTAGACTAACTAATTATCTCAAACATCTTAGGCACTTCGACGTGGTGTAACAGTTAAGCAAACTTGTCTCGTTGAATCAATTACGATTGAGTAGTGAGTTCACTCCTCATGATTTGTGCTACGCGTAGTAAATCACTAATATCCTCATCTTTTGTTGTTGTTTAAACGTCCATTTTTTAAGTTGTCTATATAGCGAGTTTGAATCACAATGGATGCAAATCCTACATCGCTATATGTTGTGATAATAACAACAAAGATGAAGGCATTAGTCTGAATGTAAAATATGTCAATAACTATAATCTCAGTAGATTTACTTTTTAAACAGAACATTATATTTAACTTGAAAATAATTTATACAGGACTAGCAGTAGAGCCCGGCGTTGCCCGGGGATGTAACAATAAGAGATAGATCAAGTATCGACCATCATAAAGACTGAAAAATAAAATTAACAAAGATTATTGTGTAAGGTTGACGGATACGCATGTCTTAATTAGTGTTTTTTCTTTGTTTTGTTTTTTTACGAATTGGTCATTGTTTTCAATCGTTATGAGTCTACCGATTGAATAGAATTTTATTATAAACAATTGTTTTGTAAATGGAATTTTTAAAGCATTCTGAATGTAAAAATAAAGAAAAAAGTGTGCAAGGCAATAAGAAACATTACCTGCCAAAAAAAAAGTGAAGTTTTGTTGAAATCGGTTGAAAAATGTAGGAAATCCGATCACATATATAAAAGAACACACACACACACACACACAAACAACCTGGGTTTTATAATAAGTATAACTCGATATGATTTGTCCCCTTTCATTCTGGCGACTTAATCGTGTTTTCAAATTGATTTCGTGCAAAAACAATTGTGTTTTTCCAATTTTTTGGCGCTGTCAGAACCACCGCCGGGTAATTTTACGTAGTCCTGTGAAGTTTTGTTGAAATCGGTTGAAAAATGTAGGAAATCCGATCCAATATATAAACGAACACACACACACACACACAACCTGGGTTTTATAATAAGTATGATTTTAATATCTTGGCTTCTTTTGCCACTGCATCGCAATAGTAATCCATCCAAATATGCGCAAAAACAGTGAATTTTCTTACTGTTGTGACTATTTAACATCTTTTCATTCATTTTATTTTTTATTTTATTATTTTCTCCTGCAGAGCATTGCACTTTTCATTGCTTGCTTGTGCCATGATCTTGACCATCGCGGAAAGACTAACCAGTTTATGAAACTTTCTGCCTCTCCTCTGGCAGCTCTTTACACAACATCGACAATGGAACAACACCACTTCAACCAAACAGTTACCATCTTGCAGGTATGTATCGATATTTATTAGACAATAGCCCATGAAAGCAATGCAGGTGTTCACCAAGTCTCTGTACTCGGTCTTACCCTTTGGCTGTTATGTATTAACAATCTACCTGAGAACATTCTCAGATAACGTGTAAATATATATGCAGATAATACCACGAGTTATCGGAATGCTACCTAAAGTCTAGATGACCAGAACCTGGCAACTGATCTCTCTGACATTGCTCGCACATTTCAGAGTAATATTCAATATCCCCCCACACACACACACACACTCAAACTAAGCTAGAAACGTTCCATCATCACAGAGAAGACCCTGGATTTTCTCTAGCGACAATGAACGGTTATACTTACCTGGTCTATTGAGATAGGTTCACCTCAGATCTCAAGTGGAACTTTTATATACGATCAATCGCTAACGACGATGGAAAAATAGTTACCTAGAAAAATAGAAAGTACCTGACACCTCCTGCTATACTCTATCTCTACAGTAGCCAGATCAGACCCCAAAATGAAATATCTCAGCAACATCTGAACCGGAGTAGCACAATCCTAACTTTCCAGCCTCGGCCAAGTTCAAAGGTGTTTGCACGGCCTTGTGAGTAATGAATTGTTTTCTACCCTTCAACCCCTTTCCCACAGATGAAACGTCGCTCGCCTCTCGCTATTCTACCGATATTTTCCTGTCTGATGTTCGAGCAAACTACATTCCTTGGTTCCACCAGCTCATACATTCACAACTTGGATCCGTCATGCCGCCCCGTACACTGAGTCGACCTATCCCCATTCTCTTCATATTCCATTGTTAAGAAAGAAGTTTCACTCAGAGCGATTCTTCCCTAGAATTGTTGTAATATGGAAGGAACTTCCAAGGAACCACTACAACCTTAATCTCTAGTTATTAGTTAACCGTTAATATCCTACACATCCTCATAGCATGCAACCCGTGATCCCTTTCATACGCCATTGAGTAACTCTCTATCTAGAGTGGCACTTAATAAATAAATAAATCGGCACAAGACCAGAAATGGGCTGCACCCAGACAAGATCAAGCATACTAACAACGGTCTGCGAAACTATCTTGCTACAGGAACGTGTCTATAATGTTGCAGGAGAAAGATTTAAACCTTAACAATGGTTGTAGCATGGAGAGTAATGTTGCCCCCCCCCTACCTTGACCTAGACTCTTCCGGAGAAATAATTTAAACTATCCATTAACCCATTGATGCTCACCGTAAAATCCGGTATTAATTATAAGAATTAGAAAAAAACCGGCATTAATTACAGCTTTATAAAAAATATACAGGGTGTTTCAAAAAGAATACGCCAAAATCATTACACTGTTTTTTCAGGTCTATAGCATTGTAGAGGACTGAATCAGTGGTAGAGTAGTTATCAAAGTTTGATTGGGTGTCAGTTTCACCGCTGTCGTTAGTATAACTTCCGGTGCAGCTGAATTGTGGGAAGATCAATCAAAATGGCGACTCCTCAGCAGAAGGCGTTTTGCGTGCTTAAGTACAGAGCACCCACATGAAACTGTTGAGCATGAAAGAGATTCCCTAAAGTGAACGTCTTTACTGCAAGCAGATTCGAATGACTTCATTTTTCAGCAAGATGGAACACCACCTCATTGACACCTCGGGGTTAGAGCTTATCTGAATGAAAATGTGCCTCAGCGATGGATTGGGAGGAGAGGTGCTAAAGACCTTGCTCTCTGTGCTTGGCCTGCCAGATCCCCGGACCTCACTGTGTGTGACTTTTTCTTGTGGTGGTATGTTAAAGACCAAATTTATGTTCCAGCACTTCCAGCAAGTATCGATGACTTGAAATATCGAATAACAGCTGCAATCAACACGGTGGACCGTGACATGCTGAGGCGCGTTTGGGAGGAATTCTCATATTGGCTTGATGTTGTCCGCGCTGCCAGTGGTGGCCATATTGAGCACTTATAAATCATGAAATGAAACTTGAATGTATATACAATACATGTGTTCATG